CAGTTATCATGTACAACCACCAGGGGGTCACTCTCCAGGTAACAGGTATCATGTACAACCACCAGGGGGTCACTCTCCAGGTAACAGGTATCATGGTACAACCACCAGGGGGGTCACTATCAAAGTAACAGGTATCATGTACAACCACCAGGGGGTCACTCTCCAGGTAACAGGTATCATGTACAACCACCAGGGGGGTCACTCTCCAGGTAACAGGTGTCATGTACAACCACCAGGGGGGTCACTCTCCAGGTAACAGGTATCATGTACAACCACCAGGGGTCACTCTCCAGGTAACAGGTATCATGTACAACCACCAGGGGTCACTCTCCAGGTAACAGGTATAATGTACAACCACCAGGGGGGTCACTCTCCAGGTAACAGGTATCATGTACAACCACCAGGGGGTCACTCTCCAGGTAACAGGTATCATGTACAACCACCAGGGGGTCACTCTCCAGGTAACAGGTATCATGTACAACCACCAGGGGGGTCACTCTCCAGGTAACAGGTATCATGTACAACCACCAGGGGGTCACTCTCCAGGTAACAGGTATCACCAGGGGGTACAAACCACTATCATGTACAACCACCAGGGGGTCACTCTCCAGGTAACAGGTATCATGTACAACCACCAGGGGGGTCACTCTCCAGGTATCAGTTACAACCACCAGGGGGGTCACTCTCCAGGTATCAGGTACAACCACCAGGGGGGGTCACTCTCCAGGTAACAGGTATCATGTACAACCACCAGGGGGGTCACTCTCCAGGTAACAGGTACCATCACCAGGGGGGTCACTCTCCAGGTAACAGGTACAACCACCAGGGGGGTCACTCTCCAGGTAACAGGTATCATGTACAACCACCAGGGGGGTCACTCTCCAGGTAACAGGTATCAGGTACCATCACCAGGGGGGTCACTCTCCAGGTAACAGGTACAACCACCAGGGGTGTCACTCTCAATAATAGATGCGGAGCAGGAGAAGAATCCACGTTAAGGGGGGGAGGGGCTCACAGTAAATCACGCCCAAACAGAAAAATGCTAGTAGTGTAGTATTTTTTTTTACTAAATTCCAAGCAAAAATATATCCAGGTAAAAAAGCACTCACATTGGTGTGACAGTAGTTAAGATGGCCGCCGGCCTAACTCGTGGCCTGTGCGGCGTGACGTGACCACCATGGCTCCTCCTCTAACGCGTTTCATGCCCGAGCAAGTTATCAAAGGGAGCATGCCTTAATTTGTCAGCGGTTTAAAAATAGCGTATTGCACGCATGCGCGATTGGTGTATTAACGCATCTTGGTCCGCAATGCATACGCGAGCGGCCATTTTCTAGGTTATACACAGACAGCATTAGGAGACAGATAGATGTGGATGCAGATGTCCGTCTCGTCCCGGGGGGTCATTACCGCAAAACCAATTCCGTTTATGTCCACAGGATAATCGGCGGGTTAATAATAACCCCGTAGGCACAAAGGATAAAATGATTCACAAATCGGGGGTTATGTCTTGCATGAAATTAAAAAATAACCCCCTCCATTTTGTCGTGGACCACAAGGGTAGGGTGTGGTTGGTGGGGTGGCTGGGTGGGGTGGGGGAGGTGTGGTGGGGGTGGGGGGGGTGGTGTTTGTGGTGGTGGGGGGGTTTGGTGGGTCCTTTTTGTTGGTGGTGTTGGGGGTTGTGGGGGTGTTGTGGTGTTTTTGTTGGAGACGTTTTGTATTGGTTGTTGGGGGGGGGGTGGTTAAAAACAGAAAAATCGGTCGATCGATTGGCCCCGAAGTTACCACAACATTAAAAAATATCGACCGATTTTAGAAAGAAGCAGAGAGAGGACACAATACAATGAGAGGATAGAAAGAAGAAGAAAGAAGGAAAAAGGAGAAAAGGAAAGGAGAAAGGAGAAAGAAAGAAAGAAGGAAGGAGAAAGAAGGAGAAAGAAGAAGAAAGAAGAAGAAAGAGAAAGAAGAAAGGAGGAGGAAAAAAGAAGGAGGAAGGAGGAGAAGAAGGAAAAGGAAGAAGGAGGAAGGAAAGGAAGAAAAGAAAGAGAGAATGAAGAAGAGAAGGTCCGCTATTATATTTTATATGAAAAAGTCTTGCGGTTGCAACAAATGTATCCAAATAAAAACATTGTAATCCAAATAATGTATTAGAATGTTTTTATTTGGATACAAATGGATACATTGTTGCAACGCAAGACTTTTTCATATAAAATATAATAACGGACCTCTTCTTCTTCATTCTTCTCTCTTCTTCTTTCTTCCTTCTTCTTCTTCCTCCAGGTCACACCTCATGCGCAGATTTTTTATTGGTAAAACGATCAGCTGATTTGCCCATCATTGCCGGGAAAATCGGCCGATTTTATATTTCGATACAGAAGTTTTTATTTGGATACTAATGGACACATTTGTTGCAACCGCAAGACTTTCATATAAAATATAATAGCGGACTTCTTCCTCCTCTTCTTCTTCTTCTCAGGTCACACCCCATGCACAGATTTTTTATCGGTAAAACGATTGGCCGATTTGCCCATCATTGGAAAATCGGCCTATCGTCAAAAATCGGCCGCAAATTTTCCAACATGACCGATTAAAAAAAATGTGCAAAAACCCCGAAAAAACGGCCGACCAATTAACCCACTAACAGTGCAAAAAAACGCTGATTTTTGACCCGTCTATGGCCAGCATTAACCCATAACTTCTGTCCCTTACAGAGACAGGGGAGTGCACCATACAATGTGACAGCAATACAAATACATTATTTGGATACAGATGTTTTTACTTGGATACTAATGGATACATTTGTTGCAACCGCAAGACTTTCATATAAAATATAATAGCGGACTTCTTCTTCTTCCTCCTCTTGATCTTCCTCCTCTTCTTCTTCTTCTTCCAGGTCACGGCTCATGCGCAGATTTTTTATCGGTAAAATGATTGGCCGATTTGGCCATCATTGACGGGAAAATCGGTTGATCGTCAAAATTGGCCGCAAATTTTTCCAACATGACCAATAAAACAAATGTGCAAAAACCCCGAAAAACGGCCAACCAATTAACCCACTAACGGTGCCAAAATCGGGCGATTTTTTTTTTCTACCAAAAAAATCGGCTGATTTTTGACCCATCTGTGGCCGGCGTTATTCACACTAACTGATCAGATGAAAACATAGAAGCAGACCATATAGATAAATACAATAAACAGATCCATGAAAAAAAAAGAAGAAAATAAAAAATATTTAAAGTATAAATGAAAAAAAACAAATAGGATAAAAAAAAAGGGATCTTATGTAGACAAAAATATCTCAAAAGGATAAAAATGTGAATAACATATCAATAGTAGAACATAAAATAAAAATATTATAAAATCGCAGGAACTGATAAATGAGGGCATCAGCACATAGTGGTTAATACTCTCTATAAAATATATAAAATGATTAGATGGCAATAATATCATAAAAAAACATCTAAAAAGGACACTGGGGGGGAAATCAACTAAAACCACCTAAAAATGAGGTAAATGAAAGGTGAAAGTAAATCTAAAACGCATGTGAAGAGGACAAGATATTAACTCATAAAATATGAAATGAAATAATGTATCCAATGGGGTATATATAAAAAGGGGTGATAAATGAACGGGGTACTCTTTAGCTATTATCAATAAAACGATGATTGTCGAGATCGACATTTAAACTAAGATAAAGAGCGGAGATCAAATATCCATTTGGTTTCTAATTTAGATACCGCTCTGCGTTTAAACACCCCAGGGTGTGCTTCTTCCCCACATGAGAACCGGGATGTCCAGCAACATTCATCTAGAAGACATTTCCCGCACTCAGGACACTAATACACCTCCAGGGTTGTGTGGGACCCCGGATGTACAGGAAGACAGGACTTCAGTGAGGAACATTTCCCTCACTCATGACAGGAACGTGGCTTCTCCCTGTGAGATCTCTGATGTCTGGAAAGAGTGGACCTACTTGAATAACATTTCCCGCACTCAAGACAGGAATACGGCTTCTCCTTTGTGTGAGATCTCTGATGTATGGAAAGATAGGACCTCGCTGAAAAAACATTTCCCGCACTCAAGACAGGAATACGGCTTCTCCCCTGTGTGAGATCTCTGATGTGTGATAAGATTAAACTTTACTGAAAAACATTTTCCCGCACTCAGGACAGGAATGAGGCTTCTCTCCTGTGTGGGTTCTATGATGACTGACAAGCTGCGATTTTGTTACAAAACATTTCCCGCACTCAAAGCAGGAATGTGGCTTCTCACCTGTGTGTGAGATCTTAAATGCTTAATGAGACTGGAATTAAAATTAAAACATTTCCCGCAATCAGGGCAGGAATGTGCCTTCTTCCCCGTGTGAGATCTTCGATGATCATTAAGACTGGATTTAATACTGAAACATTTCCCACACTCAGAACAGGAATACGGCTTCTCCCCAGTGAGATCTTTTACACACATTAAGACCGGATTTTAAATGGAAACATTTCCTGCACTCAGGACAGGAATACGGATTCTCCCCAGAGTGTGATCTCTGATGTCTGACAAGATTGAACATTTTCAAAAAACATTTCCCGCACACAGGACAGGAATACAGATTCTCCCCCGTGTGAGATCTTTTATGCACATTAAGACCGGATTTACATTGGAAACATTTCCCGCACTCAGTACAGGAATACGGCTTCTCCCCCGTGTGAGATCTTTTATGTATATTAAGACCGGATTTAAAATGGAAACATTTCCCACACTCAGGACAGGAATGCGGCTTCTCCCCCGTGTGAGATCTTTTATGTACATTAAGACCGGATTTAAAATGGAAACATTTCCCACACTCAGTACAGGAATATGGCTTCTCCCCCATGTGAGTTCTTTTATGCTCATTAAGACTGGATTTAACACTGAAACATTTCCCGCACTCGGAACAGGAAAGCGGCTTCTCCCCCGTGTGAGATATTTTATGCACATTAAGACTGGATTTCGTTTGGAAACATTTCCCGCACTCAGAACAGGAATACGGCTTCTCCCCCCGTGTGAGATCTTTTATGCACATTAAGACTGTATTTTAAATGGAAACATTTCCCGCACTCAGGACAGGAATACGGCTTCTCCGTCGTGTGAGATATTTTATGCACATTTAGACTGGATTTTAAAGGGAAACATTTCCCGCACTCAGGACAGGAATAAGGCTTCTCCCCCGTGTGAGATCTCTGATGTGTGACAAGACTGACCATTCGTGAAAAACATTTCTCGCACTCAGGACAGGAATATGGCTTCTCCCCTGTGTGAGATCTCTGATGTGTGAAAAGACTAGACTTAGCCAAAAAACATTTCCCGCACTCAGTACAGGAATATGGCTTCTCCCCCGTATGAGATCTTTTATGCACATTAAGATGGGATTTAGTTTGGAAACATTTCCCGCACTCAGAACAGGAATACGGCTTCTCCCCGTGTGAGATCTTTGATGCACATTAAGATGGGATTTACATTGAAAACATTTCCCGCACTCAGGACAGGAATACAGCTTCTCCCCCGTGTGAGATCTTTTATGCATAATAAGACGGGATTTATAATGGAAACATTTCCCGCACTCAGTACAGGAGAACCTCTTCCCTTTTGGAAGGCCGGCCCGGTCCCGCACAGTCTGAGGTTCCTCAGGATACCAGGAATCCGATGGTCCATCTACACTGGGTGGTGCTGGGTGGACATTGGAGGGAGCTGGGTTTTCTCCTGGACTATACTGTGTGATGTCCTCATCTTCTACTTTCCAGTCTGGAGACAAAGTGAGACAATCCTCGGAGGTTTTCCTCATCTCCCGGCCATGGACTAAAATACAAAGAAAAAGAGGATTACTAGACAGGAGCCCCACCAGAGGTCAGAGAGTGAGGATGGGGGGGGACCAAGAGGAAGACTGGACTCATCCTGAAGTCCACCATCATTGGGGTATTGGCTCCTCCCCCATCCTGAAGACCATCATTATTGGGGTATTGGCTCCTCCCCCGTCTTGACCCTGAATACCACCATCATTGGGGTATTGGCTCCTCCCCCAATCCCTGAAGACCACCATTATTGGGGTATTGGCTCCTCCCCTGTCCTGACCCTAAAGACCACCATCATTGGGGTATTGGCTCCTCCCCCATCCTGAAGACCACTATCATTTGGGTATTGGCTCCTTCCCCATAATGAAGACCACCATCATTGGGGTATTGGCTCCTCCCCCATCCTGAAGACCACCATCGTTGGGGTGTTGGCTCCTCCCCCATCCTGAAGACCACCATCATTGGGTTATTGGCTCCTCCCTCATTATCACTTTCTGGTTGGAGGCTGTGATCACATTATTATCACCATGTAACAGTCTGTGCTCCAATCACATCATCCGATATAAAATGTCCAGCTGGTAGGAAATGGGGGGGGGGAGAGAGGAGAAGACATATTATGTGTATATATAGGAGTGGGGGGAGGGGGGAGAGCAGAAGTCAGGAGTATGTAGTGTACAACATGGAGTATATAGTGCAGGGGTCAGTAGTATGTATGTACAACATGGAGTATATAGTGCAGGGGTCAGGAGTATGTAATGTACAACATGGAGTATACAGTGCAGGGGTCCGGAGTATGTAATGTACAACACAAAGTATATAGTGCAGGGGTCAGGGGTATGTACTGTACAACACAGAGTATATAATGCAGGTGTCAGGAGTATGTAATGTACAACACGGAGTATATAGTGCAGGGATCAGGAGTATGTAATGTACAACACGGAGTATATAGTGCAGGGATCAGGAGTATGTACAACATGGAGTATATAGCGCAGGGGTCAGGAGTATGTAATGTACACCACACAGTATATAGTGCAGGGGTCAGGAGTATGTAATGTACAACATATTGTACAAGATACAACAGGACTGATCCTGAAGACCACCTTCATCTTGAATAACAACCAGAGAGAACTCCAGCAGGGTGGTGTCCTAGAAGACTCTTTAATAATATATTATTGGGTGCCACGCCCCAATTGTAAACTACTAGAAAATAAAGACATAATATGGACATTGTAGGCCCCACGAAAACCACGTTAACCCCTCGTCCTCCTGAGGATTTACCCCCCTTCCTGACCACTCCACTCTTTGCTGATCGGCACTGCACTGTTTCAAGTGGTAATTGCGCAGTCGTGCAACGCTGCACCCAAACAAAATTTACGTCCTTTTTTCACACAAATAGAGCTTTCTTTTGGTGGTATTTGATCACCTCTGCAGGTTTTATTTTTTGCACTATAATCAAAAAAAAGACTGAAAATTCTGAAAAGAAACAATATTTTTCACTTTTGTGAAATATTATTTGGTTTGTGGGAAAGTTATAGCATCTACAAGCTATGGTGCATATATTGGAATTTCTGACTGTCTATTACATTTTTTTAGGTGCTAAAATGCCATGGCAGTACAAACATCACCTCCCCAAATTAATGTTTTTTTTTAAAGTAGACACCCAAGGATTTTGCAGAGAGGCATGTTGAGTCCATGGAACATTTTATTTTTTACCACAAATTTTTTGTGTATAAAAATGTTTTTCTCTCTTACACAAAGTTGTCACTTTAATGATATATTGCTCATGCATGCCATGGGTATATGTGGAATAACACCCCAAAACACTTTTTGGCAGCCTAGCTACATACAGGGGCCCAAAATCCAATGACCACCTCCAGGCTTTCAAAGAGCATATTTCCTCATATCACTTCCCCACTACCTATCACAGTTTCAGCGCCTCTAAAATGCCTGGATAGTACAACCCCCCCCCCCCCCCCAAAAAAAAATGACCCCTTTTTGGAAAGTAGACACCCCAAGGAATTTGATAAGAGGCATGGGGAGTGTTTTACATATATCATTTTTGTCACAGGGTTTTGAAAAAGAAAAAAAGAAAAGAAAAAAATACATTTTTTGTTTTCTTTCTTCATTTTCAAAAAACGTGGCAACAAATGAGATCTGCAAAACACTCCCCATGCCTCTTAGCAAATTCCTTGGGGTGTCTACTTTCCAAAAAGGGGCCATTTGGAGGGGGAGGGGCTTCTACTATCCTGGCATTTCAGGGCCAACATTAGAAGCTTCTGCCACACATCACCCACTCTTGAAGACCAAGTCCCTTCATGCTGCTAGTAAAAAGAATTCAGCAGCTAATTGGCCACTAGGATCGCTTTTACATGAAAGCCGACTGCCAGCTGAAAGAAACAATCCCAGGATGACGTCTGTAGCTGCAGCCATTGCCCCGGTATAACCACTCAAAGTCCAGCGACGTTCCAGTACATTGCTGGTCCATGTTGGACATATATGTAACAGCAGAGAACACGGACATACCATGACTCGGGTCTGTGGACCAATATGACCGCAATTCCTTCTTTTCTGTAATGCCCATGTTGAGGGTTCGGCCCAAAAGAGTTTTACATTCAGAAGCCGTGATAGGTCTCCATGTGAATTGTCTGGTAAGAGCTGAATTTGGGTGGGCGGCCATGTATTGTTGTATATAAATTGCCTTGGCCCACAATCCATTGGTACAAATCTACTGTGAAAAACAGGGGAGGGGCTAAACGATAGTGCTGGCAGAGAACGGGGCCCACCCTGCTAACTCTGCGTTTTTGGGGACACTATACAAAGGAGGCACTGTACTAAGGGGACACTATACTAAGGGGGCACTATACTAAGGGGGCATTATACTAAGGGGACACTATACAAAGGGGGCACTATACAAAGGGGGCAGTATACTAAGAGGGCACTATACTAAGGGGGCACTATACTAAGGAGGCACTATACAAAGGAGGCACTATACAAAGGAGGCACTATACTAAGGGGGCACTATACTAAGGGGGCACTATACTAAGGAGGCACTATACTAAGGGGACACTCTACTAAGGAGGCACTATACTAAGGGGACACTATACAAAGGAGGCACTATACTAAGGAGGCACTATACAAAGGAGGCACTATACTAAGGAGGCACTATACTAAGGGAACACTATACAAATGAGGCACTATGCTAAAGGGACACTATACAAAAGGAGGCACTATACTAAGGGGGGGGGACACTATACTAAGGGGGCACTATACTAAGGGGGCACTATACAAAGGGGGCACTATACAAAGGAGGCACTATACAAAGGGGACACTATACAAAGGGGACACTATACTAAGGGGGCACTATACAAAGGAGGCACTATACTAAGGGGGCACTATACTAAGGGGGCACTATACTAAGGGGACACTATACAAAGGAGGCACTATACAAAGGAGGCACTATACAAAGGAGGCACTATACAAAGGAGGCACTATACAAAGGAGGCACTATACAAAGGAGGCACTATACTAAGGGGACACTTTACAAAGGAAGCACTATACTAAGAGGACACTATGTTAAGGGGACACTATACTAAGGGGGGGACACTATTCTAAGGGGGCACTATTCTAAGGGGGCACTATTCTAAGGGGGCACTATTCTAAGGGGGCACTATACAAAGGAGGCACTATACAAAGGTAAATCCACATCCCCCAGAGGAAGCTACGAGTCCCTGTAGCGTAACGCGTAGGGGAGGGGCGGTGACGTTATCACGCATCCACAGAGGAACGGCGAGTATATTTACTGCAAGCAAACACATCAGCCAGGCTGTCTGAAGCACTATCTTGATACATTGTATGCAAAGCGTTATTTACATTTACACAATGTGAGTGGGAGATCAAAGAGCAATAAATCACTTATATCCCGGATAAGACACTATGTTTCTTTTCCCTTCTCTGCATGTTCCGTATATGGAGGAATAAACAAAGCAGCCAGTGAAGAAAGCATAATTGAGAAAGCTGAGCTGAGGAGAGAGGAGAGGAGACGAGGGAGAGGTTCAAGCTGCCAACACAGACTTATCACATTAACTAAATTGAATAACAACACCATCTCAAATTTAAAGAAAATAATTGACATTCCCTTTTTTTTTTTTTTTTTTTTTTTTTTTATGTTTTATTAATTTTTTATTATTTTATTCACATAGAATTGACATTCCAATTTTTCATTAATTTTTTATTAATATTTGTTATAATCACATATAATTTTTTAATTCATATTTATAAATTAATTTATGTTAATTGTATATTTAAGCACCATAGAAGTAAGTAATGATTGGATTATAGGTGGTATATTAAGAAATTCACACAACCAAAAAAGGTTAATCACAAAAGGTTGATAATATTGGAGCGCGGTACAGTATAAGAATTCACACTATACAAAGGAGGCACTATACAAAAGGAGGCACTATACAAAGGGGACACTATACTAAGGGGACACTATACTAAGGGGACACTATACTAAGGGGACACTATACAAAGGAGGCACTATGTTAAGGGGGCACTATACAAGGGGCACTATACTAAGGGGACAC